GAGCATTGCAAATGGGGGGTGCTGCGCCCCCCCCAACCCCCCCGCTTTTTTTTCAGCCAAAGCGCAAGAAAGTAGTTGAAACCCATCATGTGAGCAGGTTTGCAAATGGGGGGCACAGCCCCCCCAACCCCCCCGCTTCTTTTAAGCTGTACCAAGCGTGCTTCAAAGCCCAAGAAACTAGTTGAAAAACATCGTGTGTGCATTGTGTTTGCAAATGGGGGGGGCTGCGCCCCCCCAACCCCCCCGCTTTTTTTTTAAGCCGTGCAGAGCTTGCTTCAAAGCCCAAGAAACTTGTTGACACCCATCATGTGAGCAGGGTGTTTGCAAATGGGGGGGGGGGGCTGCGCCCCCCCAACCCCCCCCCGCTTCTGTTAAGCCGTACCAAGCGTACTTCAAAGCCCGAGAAACTAGGTGAAAAAAAAGTATGAATCCGATGAAAATATAGAGGGAATGATAGAAACCAAGAAAACGAACCAAATAGGGTTTTCCCTAGGACAAACTAAGGAAAAGCAACGTACGCTTTGACGTTTGACGAAATCCGTCCAAAATGTAATCAGAAGAGGGTTTCCTTAGGAAAAACGAACGAAAACCTCGTTTTTTTCAAGCGTGCAGAGCGTGCTTCAAAGCCCAAGGAACTTGTTGACACCCGTCATGTGAGCATGGTGTTTGCAAATGGGGGGGGGGCTGTGTTTTCCCCCAACCCCCCCCCCCCCCCGCTTCTTTTAAGCTGTACCAAGCGTGCTTCAACGCCCAAGAAACTAGTTGAAAAACATCGTGTGTGCATTGTGTTTGCAAATGGGGGGGGGCTGCGCCCCCCCCGCTCTTTTTTTTTTTGAAGCCGTGCAGAGCGTGCTTCAAAGCCCAAGAGGTGTTTGCAAGTGGGGGGGCTGCGCCCCCCCTCCAAACCCCCCAGCTTCTTTTAAGCCGTACCAAGCGTGCTTCAAAGCCCAAGAAACGAAGGAAATGACAGGATATCTGTCCAAAATGTAAGGAAAATAGGGTTTTCCCCCGAGGAAAAACCAAGGAAAACCTAAGGGAATTACAGGAAATCCGTCCAAAATGTAAAAAAAATAATTATATTTTAATTTTTATTATTAAATAAAAATTATAATTGTAGGTGTAAATTATTAATTTTAATTAAATGTTTTATTTAAAAAAATTTTTTTTACGGAAAATAAAAAAAAATCAGGTTTTCCCTATGGAAATGACAGACCATTCCGTCCAAAATGTAATAAAGTAGGGTTTTCCTAGAGCAACAAGAAATCGAACCAAAAAAAACCCCCCCCCCCAAAAAAAAAAAAAAAAGACCCAAAAAAAAACTCCACCCGTGCCCAAACCCTAAACCCTTAACCGGGCCAAACCCTAGCCCCGCAACCCGAAACCCTAAACCCCCCTCCCCTGCAACAGTGCCCCCGCTGGGCCTCTTCTGCGGTTTGAGGGTGTGTGGTTTGAGAGCTGAGGATTTGGGGTTTATGGGTTATGGGTTTAGGGTTTGGGTTTTTTGTTTTGAAGAGCCTTGTCTGCATGGTGAAAACTTCAGCATCCAGTACCTCAAGCCCTGCACTTCCTGGTTCATACTCGACAAGTCAGGGCATAAGGTATCTCATATCCCCCTACATATTGCCTGTTCAAGGAGTACATAGTGTGCTTAACTCCTACCCTTCTGTTTCCGGGCATGCGCAAAGGTCGTCCATAGTGACCTGAGCAGCCCCTTCTTTGTACCTTGAGATGCGGCTCCTTCGCAGACCGGCTTTGTGGTGTAGCAAAGTGCTGTACATCGCTGGTTCCGAAAGCTGTGAAACTCAACACTGAACCCTGCAAGACCTAAACCCATACTCAAGCCCTACTTTGGGGTTACATCCTAAACCATCGAAGCCCAAACCTTCCTCCCAAGTATCTTGATTCATACCAGCCTTCTGACCATGAGCAGCTTGTACATTCCAGAAAGTTGCAAGGCGCAGCTACGTCAGGCTTTTGAAGTGGGAAGCTCAATCCAGAATGTCCAATCCCCATACCTCTCTCCAGCCAGAATCTCCAATCCCTACACTTCCCTCCCTTCCTCCCCCCCCAAACCCTGAAGCCCAAATTCCTGAAAGACCCCAAAGAACCCAACAACCCCTAACGCTCTGAAGGCCTGAAGGCCTCAGCCGTCGCACACAACCCGACGCCGGAGCTTTGCCTGCGGCAGTTGCCAGGCGTTCTCGGATCGCGTTGAGGAGTTTCGTGAGCGAGATGCCGAGGCTGGCCAGCGAGGCAAACCCTAAGCCCTAAACCCTAAACCCTAAACCCCAAACCCTAAACCCTAACCCTAAATAGGCTTTGCAAGGTTCAGGGTTCAAGGTTAGTCAAAGGGCTTGCTGATGCAAGGTCTGAGAGCTTTGGGCGTTCCAGGGTTTGCTTTTAGGGTTTGTTTTGCGGATTTCGGAATGGCCTCTGGCCCTGAAGGCAGATAAGGTTTCCGGATTTAGGGCTTATAGGGCTCGGTTCGTGCTAAAAAAGGTTCAGCTCGTAATTTAACCTGAAGTTCTTGCGGGGGTGGCTTCCACTTAGTGTACGGCCTTGGAAGCTTAGCCTGAAGTGCTAGGCCTGTTCTCCAAGCCTCCGAGCCCTCGCACTGCGTTTAGGATTCTTGTGCCCGAAGCCCTCAATCCTAAATCTTACACGAGATGTGGTGCAGTGTAGTCTATCGCAAACTGGGCTCAGAACTTAGCTCAACCAACATGTCCTAGTTTCCCCCTCAACCCCCTAAAGCCACCCACACTCCTAATCCCACCCCTGAACCCAAAACCCCAAAACCCCACGAAACCCCCCAAGCCGTAAGCCCTAACCCTAAGCGCGACGAGGGTGGCCCTGCAACCATGGTCCCCGTGGCCCCGAAGCACAAAGCGCCCTCAATCCGCACCCTGCATGACGCCCTAACACCACACTACCCGAGCACCCCAAACCCTAAGCCCGAAACTTCCTCAGGAAGCCCCAATGTTCTGCGGCTGCGCTTCTGCGATGCTCGCCTCATCCTGCGCCCCGAGTCCCTGTTCAAAAGCCGCTCGCCGACGCGCTCCCTCCCTTACCCCCCCCTCTCCCTAGGGAAAAATCAAACTTTAAGATGTGTCAGGAATTAGGATTTGTTTGAACACCCTTCAAACTAGAGACCTTCTAGGTATTCCATTTCCTCGTCCCCTTTCCCAGGCCCTTTCTGATGGAAGGGCTTCGAAACTAAGATTACTGCAGCAGCAGGACGAGGTCAGGGATCTAGTTTCCGTTCGTACTTACAGGTGCGCACGAAGGACCCTGAGACGAGAACGAGCCTGCCTCGCGTCGATCACGGAAAATGGCAAAGGGCTTCTGCGCCTGAAGCCCTAAACCCCTGAACCCCTAAACCCTGAACCCTTACCGGCCCTCAAAGTTGCCTCTTGTTGCAGGTGGGATCTCACACAACCCCAAAATTAGCCCAGCTCGGGGTTTCATGTTCCTGAACACATCCCTTTATGGAACCCTATCAGCCCGGAAAGCCCGGCATTGGTGGAGTGAGCGCGTGTCACCTGCGCTTATCCTCTTGCGATGAAAGTGGCAGAGTAGGCCCTCATAGCACCTCATTAAGAGTTTCGTAACCTTCAAGCCCCCAACGCGATAAAGTTAATCATTCACGCAGCTCCGCACTGATCGTTCTTTATTGACCGGAGTAGAGCCCCCGAGTGCTCAAGCACTCAGAGATTCATACAATGCTGCACGCGCATATATATATATATATATATATAGTATATATATATATATATATGCTGCATGCGTAGGATATATATATATATAAGGTATATATAGAGAGTATATAGAGTATATATAGTATATATAGTATATATAGTATATATAGTATATATAGTATTTATAGTATTTATAGTATATACTATATATATATATAGTATATAGTATATATAGTATATATAGTATATATAGTATATATAGTATATATAGTGTATATAGGTATATAAATATATATATATATTATATAGTATATATAGTATAGACAATATATATATATAGATATATATATATATATATATATATATATATATATTATATATATATATAGTATATATATAGTATATAATATACTATATATAATATATATATTATATATATATTCTATAATAGTATTTATATATAGTACTATATATATATATCTATACTCTCATATATATTATAGACCAGTATATAATATACGCATTATAGTATATAATATATAATAGTATAATAAGTATCTATAGTATCTACAGTATGATAGTATATATAGTATATATGAATTATATAATATATATAGTGATTATGTATATATATTAATAATATATCTATATAATATATAATATAATATATAGTTAATAATTATATATTGTATTATGTAGTATAATATAATATAATAATCATAATAGAATACATATAATATTAATTCAATAATATATATATAAAATTTATATATGGATCTATATATATAATATATATATATATATATAATATATATATAATAATAATATAATATATAATATATAATATATTATATATATAATTTATATAATATATAATATATATATATAATACATATAATATATATAATATATATAATATATATATAATATATATTATATATATAATATATATAATATATATAATATATATAATATATATAATATATATATATATATATAATATATTATATATATAATATAATTATATATATATATATATTACATGTACATATATAATATTATATGGCTGCGGGAGCCCGCAAGACTCACTCCATGAACTTATTTCTCAGGCGTTTATTTTTTTTTTGATCCTTTTTTATTTTTTTTTTGATCCTGGGCCGGTAATTTTTTTTTTGATCCTTTTTTATTTTTTTTTGATCCGGCAGCCGATGCCCTCAGCCCTCAACCCTAAACACAAAACACTCCCTAAACCCTAAACCCTCTTTGCCTCAAGCCCTGAGCTTTCGAAGCACCCCTCCAGTGCAGGCGTGTCTTCCAAACCTCGGAGGAGGTTGAAGGCCCTCTAGGGTTTAGGGGTTTAGGGTTTAGGGCTTAGGGTTTAGGATTCCTCACTTTTTCAGAATTCAGTTTGTATGGTCTCGGTCTCCCCTAAACCCCAAACAACCCCTATGTAGAAACCCCCAAGCCCTAAACCCAAACCCCTAAACCCCAAACGCCAAATTCTAAACCTCTAACCCCCAAACAGTATTTGCTTCGTATGTTCTAGCCCAAACCCCAACCTCCTAAACCCCAGACCCCTAAACCCCCAAACCCCAAAACCAAACCCCAAACCCTACACCCTAAACCCTAAACCCTAAACCCCAAACCCCAAACCCCAAACCCCAAACCCTAAACCCTAAACCCGAACCTGCATGGCTTCCGTGGCGAGGCCCCGAGTCTTCAAGGTTTCAGGCCCCAAGCCTCCAACAAACGCTTGGGATCGGAATTTAGGGTTTAGGGTTTAGGGTTTAGGGTTCAGGGTTTAGGGTGTAGGGTTTAGGGTTTAGGGTTTAGGGTTAGGGTTACGCTTGTGGCTTCAGTGGTATAAGTTGTCAAGTTTAAGGTTGGGGTCGGCCTGTGGTTGGAGGATCTCTGGGATTCTGGGTCTTGGTTGTCGAGTTCCCGTCCTGTCGACGCAAGAAACCCTGAAACAGCCGATTAAGGCATCACTTTTGCAGCGATTTCTGGGGTTTAGGGTTTAGGGTTTAGGGTTTGGGGTTTAGGGTGAAGGCTTATCCTGGAAGGGGATGCAGAGTCATTCACAACCTTGAGGCCCGCATGCCCAGGCAGGGACTTTCTCCCGTTTGTTGAGGATTTCGCTCCCGCAGAACCCCCTTAGGGTTTAGGGTTCAGGGTTCAGGGTTTAGGGTGTAGGGTTTAGGGTTTAGGTTTTTTTTCTCTCCCAAAACCCCTCGACCCTGAACCCTGAACCCTAAGCCCCAAAGTTCGGGGTTTAGGGGTTTAACCCCCCCCCCCCCCCCCCACCCCACCGCCCTTTTGGTTCTGGAACAACCCGATAATTAAACTGGAACAATCAGGACTTCGGGCTCTGGTAAAGTCCTACCGATGCCCAGGCGAGCGCTTGGCCCTGGAAGAGACGCGGCTCTGCTGGAAAGGGTCAGGCTTCATAGGGCCCGCAAGCCACCACCTCAAGAACTATAACAAACCCTAAACCGTAAGCCCCAAGCCCCAAGCCCTAACCCCTAGCCCCTAACCCCTAAACCCTAAACCCTAAACCCTAAACCCTAAACCCTAAACCCTAAACCCTAAACCCTAAACCCTAAACCCTAAACCCTAAACCCTAACCCTAAAGCCCCCCAAGAAAGAGGCTGGACGATGATGCGCCGCTCCCCACAGCGAGGAGTTCCTCAGCTAAGACAGAGAAGTGTAGGGTTCAGGGTTTAGGGTTTAGGGTTCAGGGTTTAGGGTTTAGGGTTTAGGGTAGTTCATCGGGGGACCAGCTGAACCCCCAAGAATGGGGGTCATCTGCCCTACAACAGTAGGAAGTGCAAGTATGGAACCCTAAACCCTAATTCCTAAACCCTAGACCCTAAACCCAGCCCTAGACCCTTGGAAGGTTCATTTTTGTCCCAAAGATTCAGTGTTAAGGGTTCTCTTGGCCTTCATCTCACATAATCCCATACAACCCACAGAAGTGGTCCCCAATTCTAAATCGATTTCGGGTTTAGGGTTTGGGGTTTAGGGCTTAGGGCTCTTTAGGGAAGTTTAGGGTTTAGGGTTTAGGGCTCAGGGAAGTTTAGGGTTCAGTTGGTCGAGGGGTCGGGGGTTAGGTTCATTTCGGTGTTATATGCTCGTGGTCGATGAGTCCTGTCCGGGGCTCCTGTTCAATACTTGGCGGGATCCTTTTAGGGTTTAGGGTTTAGGGTTTCGGGTTTAGGGTTTAGGGTTTAGGGTTTAGGGTTCCTATGTTGCAAAAGTAATAATCCCCCCCCCCCCCCCCCCCGTTGATCCTTTCAGAGGAACTCGAAGGCGAGACCGTGTCAGGTTGCCAGGAACGCCAGGTTTGGGGCTTCTATAGCCCCCTTAGGATTCTTTAAAGTTCTATAAGGCCCAAGGGACATGCAAAATACTACTTTTATTACGGGGAGTATAGGCCTAGGGTGTAGGGTTAACCCTTTCAGCCCTCAAACCCAACACCCCACACAGCGCACGGTCCGGAATTCTGGAGCCCTTGAACACCTGAGCCCTTGCAGAATATTTCCGAGGGTGGTCTCTTTAAGTAGGGTTCTGCTTTCTTATTAGGGTATCTAGGGGCTATATTCATTAAGGTATCAGGGGAACAGATAAAGAGACCACCGGCCTTTATAACTCTCAAGGTTTTAAGGTTAGGGTTTAGGGTTTAGGGTTAGAAGAACCTCGCCTAAAAAAGGGTTATCCTCACAGTTTTTTTGGTCACAAGGATGCGTTTTTTTTTGTCAGCTAAGCATAGTCCCAAGGCAGTTACCCCAAAAGCAAGGGCGTTTTGGGTTCCAAGGGCGTTTTGGGGTTAGCAAGCCCCAGATGCAAGTCCCCCTGAAAATCTGGAGGGGCTTTCGGCGGTTTAGGGTTTCGGGTTTAGAGCTTAGGGTGTAGGGTTTGGGGTTTAGGGTTTAGGGTACCCTGAGAATATTTGTTGTCAAGAGGTTTAGGAATTCACGAACTTGACCTCACTGAGGTTCCGGGGCATCTTTAACCCCTACCCGCCAGATTTAGGGTTTAGGGTTTAGGGTTTAGGGTTTAGGGTTCTAGGCTAAACTACCCAAAAGCACTAAACCTGTATTCGCAGGATTCCGTATGTGGGGAAGCCCCGAAGCTGCAACCCCAAGCCCTGACCCCTACACCCTACACCCTAAACCCTAAACCCTAAACCCTAAACCTTGTGATATCTAGGCGACGACAGCATGCAGAACTGCGTCCTGGCCGGTGCCGTCGATTCAGAGGTTGGCGGCCTCGCCGTGCAGGCCGAAAAGGGTTTAGGGTTTAGGGTTTCGGGTTTTGGGTTTAGGGTTAGGGTTTAGGGTTTAGGGTTTAGGGTTTAGGGTTTAGGGTTTAGGGTTTAGGGTTTAGGGTTTAGGGTTTAGGGTTCAGGGTTCAGGGTTCAGGGTTCAGGGTTCAGGGTTCAGGGTCAGGGATCAAACCCCTAGCGCCTAAACCCAAAACGCCGCTTGCGACTTCACTCAAAACACTGCAGTTCTTTATCTTGGGTAGCCTAAACCTTGTAACCCTAAACCCCTAAACCCTAAACCCTAAAACCCTAAACCTTAACCCATATTAATCCCTGAACTCCCTAGAAGGGCTTCGGGATACGTTCGGGTCCTTGGGGCCAGGAGATCGCATCGCGCCTGGTGCACGAGAACCCGCAGCTGCGACAAGAAGGGGGGAGGGTCGGGCTCTGAATCCCAAACTTAGGCCAGGGTTTAGGGTTTAGGGTTTAGGGTTTTGGGTTTAGGGTTTAGGGTTTAGGGTCCAGGGTTCAGGGTTCAGGGTGTAGGGTTGAGAGTTAAAATCTTGGGGCTTGGGGTCTCGAGGGATGCTTGGGGCTGTGGAGGGGCAGAGCAAACGGCATCCTCATCCCGCAACAGCCCCAGGGGTTGATGTTGAACAGATCCTTCTGCCCACCCCCGGCCCAGACTGCCCCTACACCCAAAACCCTGATCCCAAAACCCTAAACCCGAAACCCTAAACCCTAAACCCCGGAACTTTAAGGCTTCAAGGGGCTTAAGCCCAAAGTGCCCGGTGGAGATCTCAAGCCGCTACTCACCTGGTTACCCCCCGCCGCCTGAATATTTTCCTTAGAATAGTCGCCCGAAAACCCAAGAGTGGTTTAATTCAAATGGTTGAGAATTCAGGGCTGCCCTAAACCCTAAACCCTAAGCCCTAAACCCTAAACCCATTAGGGATTTGGCCCGACATCACCCGAGGGACATTCGGGAGCTCGCGGTCAACACCTTAGCGCAGATGGGTGAGGCAGCCGCCCCCTACGGCAAGACACCGGGCCGCCATACTAGGTTTAGGGTTTAGGGTTTAGGGTTTAGGGTTTAGGGTTTAGGGTTTAGGGTTTGGGGATGTAGGGTTTGGGGATGTAGGGTTTAGGGTTTCGGGTTTAGGGTTTCGGGTTTAGGGTTATTTTCCTTTTTTTTTTTTTTGGGGGGGGGGGGGGGTTAAGAGCTTCATATTCAGGAAGATTGTTCAGAGGGTTTTGAGGGCCATCCGGGCCTGGCACCTGCAAGGGTGGGGGCTTGGGGTTTAGGGTTCGAGGGTTCGGGGGCGTAGGGTTTAGGGTTTAGGGTTTAGGGTTTAGGGTTTAGGGTTTAGGGGGTTTAGGGGTTTAGGAGTGTAGGGTTTTGGGGTTAGGGGTTTAGGGTCTAGGGTGTTGGGTTTTGGGGTTTGCGGGTTTTGGGCTTGATGGTTTTGGGGTCTTGGGGTTTGGGGTTTGGGGTTTACGGTTCAGGGGTTAGAGACTGGGCTCAGGGTTTAGGGTTTGGGGTTGATCTCTAGGCCACTCCGGCCATAGAACTGAACCCTATATGCCCTTATCCCAAATACCGGGTGGTTCTTATACAGGAAAGCGGGGACTGGATCCCTAAACCCTAAACCCTAAACCGATAAACTGAGAAATAGCAAGCTGCAGGAGAGAATGTGCTTAGGCTAGGAGCTCGGAATTCAGGGCCAGAAGTGTTCCCCCGGCAAAGCAGCCGGCTTGTGACTGGCTGGTCCAATTCCGGGCCGAATACGGCCTCAACCATCACCACCATAAACTCTAAGCCCCGAACCCGAAGGAAAAAACAAGAAAGAGCGTGCAACTCGTAGCCATACCATGGTTTATGGTTTAGGGATTCGGGTTTCTGTCACCATTTGGGATGTTCCCCCATATACTCCCAGTCCTGAATAGGGAAAGAAATATAGGGGGTAGTAGAATCCCCATTAAGGACTGCTAGCATATGGGGGAACATCCCAACCCTAAACCCCCCTAAACCCCAAACCCTAAACCCTAAACCCTAAACCCTAAACCCTAAACCCTACTCCCTCAACCCCTCTGACGCGGAGCAGCCCAAGTCACCATCCCAGCCTGAGGAAGTTGGGGCAGCTCGTTGCCGACCCCCAGGTTCCGCGAGTCGCACGCGAGGGCTTTCGGGGTTTTAGCCAGGGGCTGTGAGCTACCCTAAACCCTAAACCCTAAACCCCAAACCCCAAACCCCAAACCCCAAACCCTAAGCCGAAACCCTAAACCCTAAATCCGTGCGGCCAGGCTCTTGGCACTGTAGAAGGGCTTGTCTTGTGCGCGCAGTCGTAACACGTTCTACATAGGGTTTAGGGTTTAGGGTTTAGGGCTTTGATTCCCCCTCCCAAGCCCCCAATATCACTCTCGAGCCTGCTAAGCCCCTCCAACCCAACGCCAAAACCCGAAATTCTAAGCCCTTAACCCCAAAACCGAAACGGAAACCCTAGATCGTAAGCCCTAAACCCTGTCGCCCCTCAAGCCCCTGATTCCTCGCAGCTACTACATAAGCCTTAAGTTTCAAGATTGGTTTAGGGATTTAGGATTTTAGGATTCACGGGAAGACCCTAACCCTCAAACCCCTAAACCCCAAACCCCTAAACCCTAAACCCAGCCCTCAAACCCCTGAGCCTCCAGGCGGACGCATAGCGCAACACTGGCAGGAGGTTTACAGTCTGTACCTTGGAGATGAGGTTACTCGCGCATAACCAGTGGCGAAGAGAGCCAAGCAGAGACGCCAGCAGCAAGGACATGTACTCCACCTCTTTCTCGCGGGTGGCTTGGAGGATACGCCACAAGGCAGCTTTCTACACTCCTGGCAAGGCGTTGACCTACCAAGATGCGGAGCAGCTGCTGGAAGAGTACCTGGTTTCTGCCTTGCTTCCCACTACCCTGCCGATTTTGCCGCGCCACAGTTTAGGGTTTAGGGTTTAGGGTTTAGGGTTCAGATGGCTGGGAGGTGAAGACCTGGACTGCTGGGGCTTCTGCAAGCGCATCATGGCCTGTTGGTGCCAATGCTACTGAGGATGACAGGTGGCGGCGGCCCAGCACCTGACAACCGTAATAGTCTATGACACGTTCCCAGGCTAAAAAAAAACCCAAATCCCAAACCCTAAATCCTAAACCCCAAGCCCCTAACCCCCAACCACACGCTCCCCCCCCCCCCCCCCCCCGCCCCACTCCTCCAAAAAGTCAGCAATCACCTGGGGCCCTAAACCCTAACCCCTAAACCCTAACCCCCCTTCCAAAAAACAAGAATCCAACTGGGCAGGTTACGGTCTCTGCGGCCGCGAGCTCCGCCTTCGAGCAGCTTGGGCCCCATGCGGACGCCGGCATTGAGGCTCAGCGTCGGTTTTGGGTTTTGGGTTTTTGTTTAGGGTTTAGGGTTTAGGGTTTAGGGTTTAGGGTTTAGGGCTTAGGGCCCTAAACCCGAAACCCGAAACCCGAAACCCTAAACCCTAAACCCTAAACCCTAAACCCTAAACCCTAAACCCTAAACCCTAAACCCTAAACCCTAAACCCTAAACCCTAAACCCTAAACCCTAAACCCTAAACCCTAAACCCTAAACAGTTCAGGGTCTTTGGGGGTGCGTGCACGGAGGTGCGACGGGAAGCACTAGAAAGGAAGCTTTAGCTCGCCGTGGCTTGGCGCCTGAAAGTGGAAACCAGATGCTCGGTAAACCCTATACACCCCTGTATGGACCCTAACCTATACATTCGATGTCCGTTTTCGTAGACTTTAGAACTCACCGAAAATGATGTCCTTCAGTCCGACTTTGACGTGGCAGAAAGGTCTTATGCAGGGCTTAAGGGTTTAGAGGTTTTAGAGGGTTTGCAGGGTTTAGGGGTCTGGGGGTTTAAGGGTTTAGGGTTTAGGGGCTCATAGAGGCTTCGAAATTTGGTTGTGCGGCGTGGCTTGCGGCAAGACGGGTGTCGGGTTTCGGGGGCCACGACGCCCCTGCGATGCTCCCAAAAGCCGAGTCAAGACTGCACTCCACCCACACGCCCGGTCCGGAGGGATGCTTGTGGCCTGGAATTTCAGCATAGAAGCCCTCAAACCCTAAGCCCGAAACCCTAAACCCACAGACTCGAAACCCTAAAGCCCTAAAGCCCTAAAGCCCTAAGCCCTAAAGCCCTAAACCCTCCATGTTCTCAACTCTCAGTCTCTAAGCCTCCCCTAACCCCCCCCCCCCTTCCAAGCCCTGAATCCTTGCATCCCGCAGGATCTCCATGCAGAACTGCCCTAAACCCTAAACCCTAAACCCTAAACCCTAAACCCTAGAATGTAGGGAGGATATTTTCAGTTGAGCATTAAATGCTCATGCGGGATGCTGACACCCTAAGGCCCGGAAGCCCCGAAGTGAACCAGGAGACGACCCTAGGACTTTAGGGTTTAGGGTTTAGGGCTGGAGCCCTATGGGTTTAGGGTTTAGGGCTGGAGCCCTATCTAAAGCCCTCACCTAGCACTACACTGCGAAAGCCTAGAACCTAAACCCAGAATCAGGCCTGCAGGCCCTAACGCCCAAGGCCTTAAGTAAGCCGCTCAAGCCTGAAATCCTCTGGGAAGCAATAGCAAAAGCTCAAGTCACGAGCTTTTGCGGGTTTAGGCTCACTTCAGGGGTTAAATCTTCGTAGAGCAAGTGGCCTATAACCTTTCTTTTGGGAGTAAGCCCCTGGACAAAACCCCTGAACCCCTAAACCCTAACACCCTGGAAGCCCAAAACCCTAAACCCAAACCCTGAAACCCTCCAACCCTTGGGATGTTTCCCCTTCTACTAGCAGTCCTTAATCGGGATTCTGATAGGGAGGTACGAGAATCCCTATTAAGGACTGTTGGTATCAGAGGGAACATCCCAACCCTAAACCCTAGCCCTAAACCCTAAACCCTAAACCCTAAACCCTAAACCCTAAACCCGATTAAAGCCCATGAAAGCCCATGAAACCACTGGAAGCCCTCCACGCCACCTGTCGGGAGCTCCAGGAGCTCGTCAAGCATCTCGGCCACCAGCAGGACGACACTTTTAGGGTTTTAGGGTTTAGGGTTTAGGGTTTAGGGTTTAGGGTTTAGGGTTTAGGGTTTAGGGTTTAGGGTTTAGGGTTTAGGGTTTAGGGAAGCCACGTGCAGTGTTTCTGCTGCAATTTGTCGGGGCGTACTAACGGCTAATGCTTGAATGTGGGAAGTGTCTCAGGCTCAAGACGAACCCGGCTCACACCTGTGGATATTTCACCAAGGAATGCGGGATCTTTATGAGAACGCTGCCAAGCACAACATTTATCGCTTGCAGTTGGCCATGCTGGTAGCATATGGTTCCTCGGAAGAGGCCGGCATCAACGAGCTCACAGACTGCCGAAGATGAAGAGGCCAAAAAGACACGTGAGGAACTCCAGTTGCTCCAGGAGGAAGAAAGAAAGAAGACACGCAAGCTTGATTCCAAAGACCTTGGCCTCACGGATCCACGCAGCCCGTGTCGAAACGGAGCACGAGTTCGAGCAAGAAACGGGTTTCACCCCTAAACCCTAAAACCCAAAACCCTAATGTGGGACCTGCTTTAATGTGGGGGCCCCCCCCCCCCCCCTTGAACAGTCGGAGCGTGGATTGGGTCCTGAATAAAGGGCTCCGGTGGTTTATATGATTTTAATAGGGAGGAGTTTAGATAGATTTAAAAGGAATCCATATGAATCTAAAAGGGATGAGCTTATATATGACTCGAAATTAATTAGTAGTAGTAGTAGTAGTAGTAGTAGTAGTAGTAGTAGTAGTAGTAGTAGTAGTAGTAGTAGTAGTAGTAGTAGTAGTAGTAGTAGTAGTAGTAGTAGTAGTAGTAGTAGTCGTAGTAGCAGTAGTAGAGAGCCCTGCCCTTAGATGCCTTTACTAAGCTCATCCCTTCCTTCGCCTGCCATCCTCAGAGCTTTTCTGTGCTTCCAGCAGCCCCTCGCATTCCCGCCTGAGCTCCTGCCTGAGTTCGTCTCAGCCATGACCCTTTGGCTGCACTCAGAAGGGGGGGGGGGGGGTCGTTCAGTGCGAGTTGAGGTTGGCAAGTCTCAGAACATGTGGCCCTGTACCAACCGACTTAGAGCCCAGATCAAGTAGCAGCCTGAGCCCCTAAACCTTAAACCTTAAACCCTAAACCCTAAACCCTAAACCCTAATTAAACCCTAAACCTAGTGGCTTTGCATCTCAGGAAGACTCAGACGAAGATGGCCGTCTTCCTGAGCTTTGCCCTCCTCAGTGGGCTCAGCTTGGCCAGCTGCTGGGCTGCATTTAGCTTCAGTGAGGGCTTGCATTTAGGCACTGAGACAGGAGTGAGTGCTTGCATCTAGGACTCAGACAGAGCTTGAGCATGAGGAACTTGTTTTTCTTCAGAGCACTTTTGGTTCTCAGCATCCCCAGCAGCAAGCCTCTGAGCAAGTACATTCTGAGCCATGTCCTTCCCTCCAGTGAAGTCTCAGGGTGCTCCTCCTAAGGCAGTAGGGCCTTATCACGGAGCCCCTCAGGGATTCACTCAGGGCAACCCTGTGCTGCCTCAGAGTTTCGTGCCTCAGCCAATTCCTCCGCCACCTGTCACGAGGCTTTTTCGTTCCACAGTGAGGGATCCTGAGCAGACCCTTCAGTATGACCGTCCTCACTCGTATGAGGCTGAGCCGTACTTTGAGTGCCCAGGCTGTCTGAGGCAGAACAAGGGCACTAAGATCGACCTGACTCGCATCCTCTTTCAGACCCGGTGCATCTATTGCCACTCCTCATGGCCTGCCTCAGCCATCCTTCAGTGGCACCAGCAGGTGATGCCTCTGATTGAGGACCTGCCCTGGGGAAGGCACTTAGACATCCGCTTCAGGGTCTTCGCTCAGGAGAAGCCAGGCCCACTGAGAGGGTTGGATGTCAGCTTTGGCCCAGCTCCCTCCTCAGGTGGGGCTCCTGAGGCTGCTCCTAAGGCACCACCTCCGCCACTGCCTGAGGATGAGGATGAGGAAATCTCAGCAGAGGTGGTTCACAAGTGGCTGAGGACGACCGGAGGTCCAGGATAGGCTGGATGCCAGGGCCGCTCGGCAGCTGAGCCAGCTCCTGAGCCCAAGGCCTCGCCTCAGCACACGCCCCTTCCTGAGACGAGCAACCTGAGTGCTGCCGAGCAGGAGCAGCTGAGGGCACTCCTTCAGAAGATGAACCAGAACCAGCCCTCAGCATCGTCCTCAGGCTTGCCTGAGACTTCCTCCACCCAAAGCTGGCTTGCACATCAGTGAAAGCTGCCTGAGTCAGCACTGAGTGTCTGCTGAGGGAGACTGAGTTTTTGCATTGTCTCCTGAGAGAGACCGGTTTTTGAGCAGGCCTGAGCGAAAAGGAGTGCCTCAGTGAAGCCATAATTAATGAATTCAGTGGGTTTCAGCATTCCTTGAGTTCTGCATGTTCTCGCATCTCAGGTCCAGTCACCTCAGAGCTGTCGGTTCTGGTGACTCAGCTCAAGGACTGGGGTTTTGACGCCTCAGTCTGGGTTGCTCAGCTGCATTCTGGGGTTTAATCAAGGGTTTAGGGTTAAGTGCACCCTGCAGGGTTGCGAAACCTCAGCAAACTCAGCCGTGCTCAGGCTCAGATCTTCGTCCTGAGCTTCGTCTTGGGGGTCGCCTTCAAGACTTACAAGTTCATGAGTGACGTCCTGTGGTACCTGAAAGCTCAGGACACATGTCTCAGTTCAGATCTGAAGCGAGCACCCTGAGCCTCCATGCAAGCCCAAAAACCTTAATCCTAATTAGACCCTAAGCCCTAATTAAGCCCCAGACCCTCTCCCGAAACCTTGATTAACCCTAAGCCCTAATGAAACCCTAAACCCTAAACCCTCGAGGAGGAATGGCTGAGTGCTATCTCAGACAGGGTCTCCCACATTGAGCGCCGAGACTCAGGGGCAGCACCTAAGGCAAACCCACAAACCCAGAATTCCCTAAGCCCTTAAACCCCTAAAGCCCTGAGCCCTTAAACGCCTTAGGTTGGTCTTAGTTTATCCGTCAATTAACACAACTCCTAGGGGTTTAGGGTTTAGGGTTAGTAGTTTAGGGGTTTAGGGGTTTAGGGGTTTAGGGGTTTAGGGGTTTAGGGGTTTAGGGGTTTAGGGGTTTAGGGGTTTACTATTCTTGGCAATCTGAGGCCAAGATCATTCCTCAGGAGATTCCTGGGATGCCCTGAGGCACCTCAGCCAGGTCTTCTACGAGTTCGACCCTGAGGCTGAGCATGAGGAAACTCCTCAGTAAGCCAACCCTCAGACCAACGAAACCCTACAACCTAAACCCTAAACCCTAAACCCTAATGAAACCCTAAAACCCTAAACCCTAAACGCTAAACCCTAAACCCTAAACCTTAAACCCTAAACCCTAATTAAACCCTAAACCCTAAATCCTAAACCCTAAACCCTAAACCCTAAACCCTAAACCCTAAACCCTAATTAATTATGCCCTAGACCCTAATTAAACTCTAAGCCCTAATTAACCTCCGAAAGCAATTCTCAGGCAGGTGGTGCTCAGATCCTGAAGGACATGTTCCTGAGGGTTCGCACTTCCTTAGGGAAGCAGACTGCTTGGGAACCTGAGGCCACCCTGTTGCACTAAGTTCTAGTTTTGCTGAGGTTTTGATAACCCTAATTAATTAAAACCCAAACCTTGCTCAGCTTAGGCTTTTCGAGCTGAGTGGGATGTGCTCCTCAGCACGGCCATCCTCAGTGTGAAATCAGAAGTCTTCTATTGGAGATTCCTGAGAGTGCCGCAGCAGAACTGAGGCATTTCTGAGTCAGTCCAGTAATTAACTAAGCAAAACCCCTGAACTCAGGCACTCGATGGATGCACTGAGTCCAAGCCCGAGCACGAGAAGGTGCTGAGCAACCTGTTGAGGCCTGAGGTTACTCAGCTCTACTTCTCAGCAGCAGCCTGGACTGTTAGGGTTTGGGGTTTAGGGTTTGTTTAGGGTTTAATTAGGGTTTAGGGTTTCATTAATTAGGGTTTAGGGTTTAGGGTTTAGGGTTGAGGGTTTAGGGTTTAGGGTTTAGGGTTTAATTAGGGTTTAGGGTCTTGGGTTTTTGGCATCTAAGGCACCCATTCAGACCAGGATGTCTGCCTTAGCATCCTGGTCCTCAGCACGACACCTCTATCACCAGACTGAGAGCCGCCTGAGGTCCCTTCAGGAGAAAGTTGCTAAGACAGGCACTTAGTCAGTAGCTTTGGGGTTTAATAAGGGTTGAGGGTTTAGGTTTAGGGGGTTCTTAGCTTTAGGCCAAAATTAATAATCACCTTGAACTAAGGCTCAGTGCCTCGAGGTGAGCTTCGCAGGCCTCAGCAGGATGCCTGAGGCTCCGGGCCAGCTGCCTGAGTGGAACACTGAGGCAGAAGCCACTAAGCTTCAAGATTTGGGACCCTAAACCCTAAAGAAACCCTAAACCCTAATTAAGCCCTAATTAATTAAACCCCAAACCCTAAACCCTAAACCCTAAACCCTCAACCCTAAACCCTAAACCCTAATTAAACCCTAGACCCTAAAGCCTAAACCCTAAACCCTAATTAAACCCTAAACCCTAAACCCTAAACCCTAAACCCTAAACCCTAAACCCTGTCGTCGTCGTAGTAGTAATTGCTTACACCCTAAACCCTAATGAAACCTAAACCCTAAACCCTAAACCCTAATTAATTAAACCCTAGACCGTGCCCTAAGCCCGTCTGAGGTGAAGAAGTGGCAGACTGAGCTCCGCCAATCAGGCCGAGCTCAGGCCTAAAGGGCCTCAGACAGACAGCAGCAGACAGTTTGAGTGTGTATGTGTGTGTGCAAAAGTCAGCTCTCTTCTGTTCTCAGAGATGAATAATTACCCTAAGACCCTAATTCAGCAATGAATGGCAAAATCAAGAGGCCCGCCTTTACAGGCAAACAGCCGGGATTCCGAAATCGGGGCTCCGGGCCGGGGCCTTGACATTAAAGAGGGTCCCGAATCAGTCCCATTATTCCGGGTCCAAGGGGGGCCCTGGACCACCCCCTTGCCGGAT